AAGGATCAGTCCAGCATCCCCCATTGCCTCTTCCCATCTTCTTTATTTGAAAACTACCTATTTATTTGAAAACTACCTATGTTGTAGTAGCTCCCTACCCGCCTTAATCAAAAGCCACTGTACACCAAGCCCAATTAAGTTCACTTACTGAACACTTTCAATAGAGTTTCAATGCATCTCTTCATAAATAGGAATAAAGCAGTGTCCTGAATAAAGGCACCAGGGCTACCAATGACAGGAACAGGGGCCAGGCGTGGTGGCTCATGCCTGTAATCCCACACTTTGAGAGGCTGAGGTGGGAGATGGCTTAAGGCAACAAGTTTGAGACCAACCCAGGCAACAAAGCAAGACCACCCTCTCTAAAGAAAAATTAAAAAATTGGCCAGGTGCGGTGGTGCACACCTGTAGTCCCAGCTCCTCAGGAGGCTGAAGTGGGAGGATCAACTGAGCCTGGGAGTTAGAGGCTGAAGTGACCCATGATGGTGCCACTGCATTCCAGACTGAGTGAGAGAGCAAGACTATATCTCCAAAAGTAAAAAGGAACAGGAACTGGGCTGTCATGTGGATCCCATATTTACAAAGCAGCAAAAGGTACTAAAAGTTTGTATACTGCATGAATACAAAAATTGTACTTCTTTTTTTTTTTTTAAGATGAAGTCTTGCTCTGTTGTCAAGCTGGAGTACAGTGGTGCGATGTCGGCTTACTGCAACCTCCGCCTCCCGGGTTCAAGCCATTATCCTCCTTCAGCCTCCTGAGTAGCTGGGACTACTGGCATGTACCACCACGCCCAGCTAATTTTTGTAATTTCAATAGAGACCATGTTGGCCAGGATGGTCTCCATCTCTTGACCTCGTGATCTGCCCCGCCTCAGCCTCCGAAAGTGCTGGGATTACAGGTGTGAGCCACCGCGCCCGGCCAAAAACTGTATTTTTACCAAACAGTTGTCACAACATGGCCTTGCTTTGGGGAATGAATAAAGAAGTAAACTTTAGTAAATCAACATCACAAGTTGTTCTTAAGGATGAATGACACTGTCCAACGTTTTAGACGGTTACCAAAGTTTAATAATTATTTCTTACTCCCCAGATACCACCTGGACAGTATTTTATCAATCCTTGAAAAAAGGAAAAAAAAAAAAAAAAAAAAAACCCACAGCATAAAAGTTCTGTGGGAAATTCTGCAGTCTATAATACCTACTTCTTTTTTTTTTTTTTTTTTTTGTATACAACTCTTCTTTCGGAAAAGCTCAAAACTGTATTGCACTCTTCCCCTCGTTCTCATGTGATTCCTATGCAGACGTTGCTGTATCTTTTAGAATGAAGGGTGATGGAGTTCAGGGCATGTGACCCCCAAACAGGGCACCTCAGCATTTGAGAAAACAGCAGAAGCAGGAAAGTCATTTTCACCTTCCTCTCAACCTTCTCCCTTAAAGCTCTGCCTTTCCTTTGAAGAAGACCGTCATTACAAGGGTCTATACCTTGAGAAAAGGAATACCCTATCCTTGAAGACACAGAGATGCCAAGGAAAATCTGAACAAATAAGCCTTACTAAATTCCTCCAGTTTATTAGCTTTTTAGATCATATCTTCCTTTTTTTTTTTTTTTTCCCTCCAAGACAGACTCTTGTTCTGTTGCCCAGGCTGGAGCACAGTGGCTCAATCACAGCTCACTGCAGCCTCAAACTCCTGGGCTCAAGCAATCCTTCTGCCTCAGCCTTCTAAGTAGCTGGGACTACAGGCACACGCCATCATTCTGGGCTAATTTTTTAAACAAGGTCTCACTCTTATTGCCCAGGCTAGAGTGCAATGGTGCAATTACAGCTCACTGCAGTCTTGAACTCCTGAGCTCAAGCAATCCTCCTGCCTTGGCCTCTCAAAATGCTGGGAGTACCTGTGTGAGCCACCGTGCTCAGCCAGATCATATCCTTTTGTTCTTCAAGCATTCACCTACACAACTGTCCCTAAAAATACATAAGCTTCCCTGTTTCTTTGGGTCTTCATTTCTAAAGGCGTCTATGTCATCTAAAACTTACATTAACTAAATGTGTGTGCTTTCATCCTGTTAATTTGTATTTTATTATAAGTTCCCCAGCCATGAACCTTACGATGAGTGAGAAATCTTTTCTTCCCTACAAAGGGAAATAAAGAGATGTTAAATTGTTTGCTAGAAATAATTCAGAGTCTTTGGCAAAGCCCAGAATGAGAAGAATATTGCTGAATTACCAACGTAAGCCTTCTTCCAAATAGACCATGAAGACTTTACTCAGTTCCTTCCAGAAATGGAAGTCAGTACATTCTGGGGTGAGAAGATTCTGACATAAATGCACTCATGGGCCTGTGTTACAATGATGACTACCAATAACAGCATCTTCATAATGCTCATTGTTAGCATTCTGGATAAGTCAAAGATGGACTGTACTGATTAATTGGGTAACAATTATTTCAGTGAGTTGCCATCAAAAGAACTAGAAGTGTTAAGAAAAGAAAAGAAAAAAAAAAAGCACAACATGTCTAATACCCACCCAGAAAAAGAAAAGGGATTGCAATTCATTTTATTTCGTTGGCGCTTTTCCAGAAAATATTTTCCTAGTAATGAAGCACACCAGCTTTACTCTAAAAAATTGTCTGTTTCCAGCAAGCAATTTAAAATATTGTTTGTTTCCAGCAAACAATTTAACATCTCTTTATTTCCCCTTATAGGGAAGAAAAGATTTCTCACCCATTATAAGATTCATGGCCAGGGCACCTACGATAATTTGAAGACTTTAAAAAACATCCAGTGAATCAAATAATGGGTAATTATAATTTTGAAACCTTAAGAAATATCAAATGTGTCAGATAATGGGACAGTACAAAGCCAACAGAACAGTATTTTTTTATTTAGAATAGTTGTATTCATCTAGCAAGAATTCATTGATCTGCTAACTTTACAAACCAAGAGGCACCTTTTTCATTTAGTTTATCCTTAAATGCCCCTTGCACTGATTTCCTAAATGAACACTTGTTTTGCATGAATACAGACTTTCTTAGGAACTACAAAGCAATCTGAACACCAATAATAAGACGTCTATTCCCACCCCACCCCTGTCTTAAACAGAAACTACAACGTTTTCTAATTCTCTCCTGGGTAGAATATCTCATCTATACAAGATTATAAACAATTTTTAGTATTTAGTTAGGCAATACGATGTTAAGACTATACATGAGTCATGAAAAATCCCACCCAGAAAAAAGCAAAGCTTTTTCCTCGGAACTGTTCTTATTCTTGTTCTATCCTCACAATATCATTAGTAAGAAAACACCACACACTATAATCATCCTTTGAAATGTTTACCCAACATTGTGACCCAGTTGTAAACTCTGTAGCCCCGTGGAAACACTTACTTCTGGGAAGAATGAATGACTCTTAATATAGCACAAATGTACTCCAAAGGAAAGGCATGGTGACTTCTAAATGATCTGAGGAACAGAGAGCTAGGTAAAGACAATGGAGGCAGAGTTACCGAAAGAAAAATTAAATTGTATTGGCAAGGGAAAAGGCATTCTTTGGAAAGTGAGATAACAGGTCTGTCTTGTCGAGCGCTACATTTAACACAGTTTTTCAGATCTCACAATACAAGCTAGAATTCCACTTCTGTTTATTTCAGGGTAGATTTACATCGGTTTACTAACTCACCCCAGACCTCTGAATAATTGTTTCATGTGAGCTACATGAATAGTGTATTATTACTCATTACCAAGTCATTACCAAGACAATCAACAAGATATAGCCCAAAGGGAATTATACACAATAATTTGGATGGTGGAGAGGGGGTGGGGAGGAAAGAAGAGTTGGGAGTCACACAAAGGGACGTGATTCACCTGTAAACGTTGAGGGTAGGGGGTTATAAAGTGTTCCTGGCAGAGAAACCACAAGGCCCAGGTTCCAGGACGACACTGGTAAGTAGGAAGTGTGTGACCTTGTGCATGACCAGATGGATTGTTTCGAAGATTGGATCTCATAGATCAAAAGAAGGGACTGTGCTGAACGCTCTTTGAGATTCCTCCCACTGTCCAAATACCAAATGATATCTCCACTCAGGGTATGCGCCTTACTAGGTCCGGCTGGGAAAATTCGGCCTTCATTCATCTAATCTGGCACAGTGACCGAGCCCTGGGGCATGCGCCCGGCCTCATCCTTCTCCATGGCCGGGCGCCCCGCGGGCGAGTCGTGCGGGGACGTGGCGCTTTAAAGTTTATGAGAAGCCTCGCACACCTCAAGTTGAAGGAACTGCTGAATCAGGGTGCCCCCATTTAGTCAGATCTTAGGCAATCCTATGGTTCCTTTACTCTCCCTCACCCTTCCTCCTACTCTGAAAAGAAACCAGATCGGCCTGTCCGCCCAGAGGTCACCTGGGAAGAGCAGAGTGATGTCACTCGGCTACCCCCAAAACTGCCTCCAAGGTACAAAAGAGCTGGAATATCTGTGCACGGTCCAAAAGGACGGCAGACTCAGGAAGGTGACTCTTTAGAAGGTATTATTACTAGACTGCACACTCGGCCTCTGGGATGGGGTGAGGAGGAAGGTGGTGAGTTCCATCATCCCGCTGCCTTGCTGCCCGGCGGCCAGGTGCTGCTACACATTCCAACCCGACCTTTTGGCTTAGGGGACTGCGAAAAAAGAACTCAAGCGGAGGAAGCACCTGCAGCCACCCAGGCCGGAGTTAGGGAACACTTCCCCAGAGTTACGTACTGCAACAACCAAGCCACGTCTGGAGCCACCTCTCTGGCTTCCGGCTCCGCAGGGCTTGCCCTCCCCGAGTCACCGCGGCAGGGGCCGGGGGCGCCGAGATGAAAGGGGAAGGTCGGAGGGTCGAGAGCACAGTGAGGGGAGGCGGGTTGGAGGCGCCGGGATGGCAAAAGGTGGGGGGTGGATTGGGAGGGTCAGAGGGGCCTGGGGCGCCAGGGCCGGGGTGTGTGAGGTGTGCGCGAGGTGGCCAGGGGGCGCGCAGGATACCCTACCTGTGGTGGAGAGCACGGTGCTGGCGAAGAAGAGCGCGGAGGTGAAGTCCCAGTTCCAGTTTCCCGAGGCGTTGCTGAGCACCGACACGCCGTAGTTGCTGGCCTCCAGCACCCGGCCCAGGAACTGCTCGAGCTGCTGCTCGGACAGGCACTCGTGCTCCTCCAAGAAGCGCCGCTTCAGCTTGCGCAGCTCCTGGCGCAGCAGGTCCTCGTAGGGCAGCTCCACTGAGGAGAAGACCACGGCGCCGAAGACCAGGTACAGCAGGTAGCCGAGCACCAGGAAGCCGAAGCACCAGGCCGAGCGGTGCCGCTCCACCAGGCGCACGCACGAGCTGCCCGCCAGGGACTGCAGCATCTTCTCCACC